AAAGTTGCGATTTTCGAGCTGGAGCTGCGGAAGTGTACTTTGCGTACTAGACTTGTACTGCAAAGTTGCGATTTTCGAGCTGGAGATGTGGAAGTGTACTTCGCTTACTAGACTTGTACTACAAAGTTTCGATTTTCGAGCTGGAATTCCGGAAGTGTACTTCGCGTACTAGACTTGTACTACAAAGTTGCGATTTTCGAGCTGGAGATGCGGAAGTGTACTTCTCGTACTAGACTTGTACTACAAAGTTGCGATTTTCGAGCTGGAGATGCGGAAGTGTACTTCGCGTACTAGACTTGTACTACAAAGTTGCGATTTTCGAGCCGGATCTGCTAAAGTTCGAAAACATTGTAAAACGATAAGGTCTCCTTCCCAAAAACGATAACGTTCAAAAAAGTACTAGGGCCAAGTAAAGTGTTTCGTCCGCTCCTCATATATATATACACACACACACGTTTGTTTCAATGGAATCCACCTTTGTCGCTCTGAGAGGTTATTTTCCAGTCCAAAAGCGACGTGCATGGCTTTACAAGAAAAGTCATCTAGCGAGAGAATAGCCGCTGGGTTGATAAGGATCGGAAATGGGCATCCATACTGGGCATGGCTGTCATGAGCCCCTCAACCACGGACTTATGTCAACACAACTCCGCACAAGCAGCATGGATCCAAACAACCTCCCCTGGCTGGTGTTCAGCTGACACCGCACGGCGTATATGTATGTGTATGTATAGTATATATATATATATGTAAATATGTAAGTTTGTGGTGGTTTCAACCGTAGTTGAGTTTCCTATGAGAGTTGTTGAAGGGACGTGAACCCCAGCACCGGGCCCGTTGCGAGGCAAGAGGATCCGGAGGACAGCGACTACATGCTCTCCGAGTATGAGTCTGACTCCAGCGAAGGCAGGGAACACGGAGGGTTCGCCAGGCGTAAGGGAGCGGCTTGTGATGCCAACTCCAAATCGAGTCTTGCTGCTTGCCTTGGTGTGTACTTGTACAAGTCCACACGAAATAATCACGTGTAATAAAACTACATACATATATACGAAGGCAGGGAACACGGAGGGTTCGCCAGGCATAAGGGAGCGGCTTGTGATGCCAACTCCAAATCGAGTCTTGCTGCTTGCCTTGGTGTGTACTTGTACAAGTCCACACGTAATAATCACGTTTAATAAAACTACATACCTTTGTACGAAGGCAGGGAACACGGAGGGTTCGCCAGGCGTAAGGGAGCGGCTTGTGATGCCAACTCCAAATCGAGTCTTGCTGCTTGCCTTGGTGTGTACTTGTACAAGTCCACACGTAATAATCACGTTTAATAAAACTACATACATATATATATATAGAGAGGTGGATATGTTGCATGTGTGTTCTTCCCACTGTGGGAAGAGTCTAAGTGAGCAGCAGGTGCTAGGAGGTCCACTTTCCCAGTACGTCCATGATTTGCCTTTCAAAGAACCGCCTTCCAACAACAAAGGAACCATCTTTAATTTTAAAAATGACATCTTTGGTCACCTACTAGAATGGTAGCTGGGATCCACTAGGACGAGTCAAGTTGTTTTGCTGTGGGCTAGAAGCTGGCGATGTTTGTGGCTGTTTGGCTTCTATGCCTTCCGCGTTTTCGGCGTTGACCGGGTTGAAGCTGAGGTTGCAAAAGGCGAATCCTTGTTTCCAAGTCCTGGCAACTGAGATGCTCCGCCCAAAACATATCCTTCAATGCCCTACACACCCTTCTTGTCTCGCCTGACGTGCTTCCGGGATTCTTTTGTTTGGGGGTGTCGTTTTTGGAGTTGGCCATGTTGGCCAATTCTGGAGTTGTGTCAAAAACACTGGCGACTGCCAACGGGAAACTACCCATATGGCTGGGTTCTCCATTTTGGAGAGCAAGCCTCCAAGTAGATGGACCCCTTGCAAGGAGTGGCATGGACCTTGTGGAAGCTGGATGTGACCTCCTTGCCCCAAAGGAGTTAGTCTCACTTGCAGCAACCTTTCAGCCTTCCAAAACCTGAACCTTTGGACCTCGCACCGAGCACCGGGTTCCCATGGTTTCGCTCCTTGGATGACCAGCTGGCTCAGCTCCGCATGGCAGGGTACTGAGCTCGCGTAAAGAGAAGATGTTGGACTTCCATGAAAGGTTGGTCGACGTTCAGTAAGGCCAGAAGATCTTCTGGGCGATAAGGCCAGCAGATGTGAACGATATATAAGGCCAGAAGATGTGGGCGATAAGGGGTAAGATGACCCATCGGCAAGTCAGACTTTGGACATCATGGCCGTCGGAACGCGGACAGTCGTTGCAAGTAAATGACCCAGTCGATGTGCAGAGAGACCCTCGAGAGGCGACATTGATCTGGAGTCGCAGTCTGCCGAGCAATGTGCCGCTCTCAGCATTGGCAAGAAGTTCTGAGGCTTGAACCTCAAACACGAATAGTGTTGATTCATGGGAACGGATTAATCAACCGGTTTATTCCTAGGGGGCTTCCCATTTCAGAGAGATCATTTACCGAAACGTGTGTGGGGGGGGGGGGTTGCAATCGACGTGTATCTGACATATTCGATTGGTCGACATCCCTGTATTGATCAGGAAGGTCAAGGTTGGCATTGCACCCTGCATTTCTGACAAATCAGGCGTTGACCCACAGTTGGTCCGGAGCTTGTTTTTGTCTGTGATCTGGACCTCTTTGTTTGGTGGGTTCCGGCACTGGGCAGGTCATGTTCAGGAGACTATCTAGGAGCTACTAACCAAAAAGTGTCCAATGAGCTTCACACTACGAGTAGCGAGATGGGATTCCCCAAGTTTCTTTGTGGGGAGTGTTGATTTTTTGTTGAGGGAGGGGGGCATTTGAAGTGAGTGTACACTAACATAGCACCTGTGGGATTGCTTTCCTTTAGAACGCTGTCGGGGTACATGAGAAAAAATAGGGGAACTCTAAAATAGTGTCCGTTGCTTTCCCTTTAAGCCAACCCATGGTATCCTCAAGACACAGACTTGACGCGATGGGAGAGTGATTCGAGCCCATGGCTCTTAGGACTCGCGCAGCAACGGCTGCCGCCTTTGAGTAGGTTGTCCCGCCGGAGGGTTCCTCAGTCGCCATTGCTTTGAGGCCAGTTGTTGGCCCAGAGAAAACGGAGCATTTGAAGCAGCCCGAAGCTGCGGAAGTTGACCGAAGCTAGACAGAACATTCGCTTGCAAGTTAGACCTAAACCCGGCAGATCCTTTGCACACAAGGACAGCAAAAGAAAAAAGACACTTGGCGGTTGAACTGGTGCCGGGCGTCAATAGTTCAAGTTGCACTGGGGGTATCTTTCTGACGACGATGCGGGACTCCAGAAAGTTCGATTGGTTTCGTTTCGCGTAGTCGCAAATGAAAATTCATAGCCTAGGTTTCCCAGTAGTGCCCTTTTACCCTTTTTGGGGGGAGGGTTCCCCTACCAAAATAGACTGCAAAAAAGGTACCCTGCTGGAGGACCTAGTAGCCTGGTTTCAAAATGGAGTCAGAAATGTTCGTTTCCCGTAAGATTTGCACAGGTTTCGAGTTGGAGCTGCGTCGAGGAACTTGTTTGGTTTGAGTGCTTCGTGGGAGCGGTTCCTTCCTCTTTCCTTTCAAGAGCGACTGCCTGGTTCGCGACCTGCGACCTCACCGGATAGTTGCGATGGGCCCAGCCCCAGAATGATGTGGTTGTGGGTCAGAAGGGGGCGTGCAATCGTGTTCATAGGTGCCCTTTTTAGGTTAGTTTGGTTAAAAACGGATGGCACTGGTTTACATGGTTTAGTTCATTTACCAGACCCATCTATTTTCCAAAAGGCCACCTATGATTGTGTTTGTTTTCCCAGTTCCCTGTTTCGTCGTCGGACTCTGCGTGAAGTGCAGATCGGTTTGCTCCAAGAAGCCGCGCGCTCGGCTCACGTGAGGTCCAAATGGTCTAACCTCAAGGCCGCTGGTTTGGCCGAAAGCAGTCGAATTCAGCTCGCCGCACAAATCGTTGGGTATCAAAGCCAACAAGTCCAGATCCACTCGGGCATCATGGAATCTTGATGCACGCTAAAACAACGCACACGACCAGCAGAAGATATTAATCGACCTCTGAAAGCATGCATGTTCGCCTTGATAGTTACCACACCAAAAAAGATTGCTGCAGTGCTATCGTACACGTTGTTTTTCAGACGCCCAATAGCTACAGCTGCTCGAGCCCGTGGCAGGACGGCGCCTGCGGCGAGTTTTTCAAAGATGATCAAAGTATTGAAAGAAACCAGGGCTCAGTGGAAGAAAGGCATCAAAGGTTTGTGCCAGGTCTTAGGTTGGAACTTCATTTCTCCGCATTTGATTTGTTTTTGAGAACTTCTGAAAAGGGTGCCTCCGCGCCCTTTTTTTCTCTTGCCGCAGGCATGGCCCAGAGAGTCCAAAATCCAAGTGCCTAGAGGAACAAAAACTGCGTCCACGGTGCCGGTGGGGGGGGGATGGATGGAGGCGTGAAAGATCCACGTAGGGCGCAACCTGGGCAACCTGGCTTTTCTTATCGGGTATTAAACAATGGTTTCCCTTTTTTTAAGCTACAGTGGCAACTGGCAGCGCTGGGCTTTCTTTGTGGCGGAGCTGCTCCTGGATCTTTGAACCGGGGGTAGACCAATACAAGACTTGCTGGGGAACCATGACCAAGGCCCACATGAGCAGTTTTGACCGCGGCACACATAATCTCTTTGTCGTAGGCTGTGTTACTCCAGGAGTCGCGAGCTTTGAAGCCAGCATTTGACTGAGTCGATTGAGGTTTGGACTTCCTAGGACAAACACGCTCCCCCGTTCGGCTCTGATTTGTTCTGGGAGCTTCGCGGCATGCGACGCAACCGTTGTGACAAGCCAAAGCTGCAAAGACTCAGATCTGAGTCAACACAAACTGGTGATATTTAATTTCTGGCACCGAAGGCCAAACCATTCAAGTTGGTGAACCTCCAGACACAGCAGTTGTGCCAGCATTTGGACGCCATCGCAAGCCACATGTGAAGACATCAAACCTATCTTGGCCATGGAACGCTTAGCATGGCTTTGGTCCTGCGCCAGCCGTTCGCCTTGCGCCTCGGCGTGCGGTTTCGCCTTGTGGAACTCCGTGCTCCACTCGCCGCGGGCCCCGCGGGATCCGCGCACCGCGGCGCCGCGGCGCTCGCCAGCTGCGGCCTCGGCGTGGGATGTCGCCTGACTCGGCTGACGCGCCTGGCACGGCCACGGCGGCGGCAGGCGGTCGCGGGGCGCGGGGATCGGATGGGGTGGGAGTTCCTGAGTTGGGCGCAAATTTCTTGAAGCCGGCGAGGTTTCTTCAGTTCGCCTACTGGAACGAACCACCAGAGCATGGATAAGTGGTGCATGTTGGCTGATTTATTTGCCACCCGGTGGCAAACATTCACCTTTGCGAGATGGGTGCAAAACGATGGACCCTGCCAAGAGCTACACCTCTTCCTGCAAGATATGCAGCTATCCGAGTCGCAGCAGCAGCAGAGTACGTCGTCGCCCACGAACGAGCATGACATTGTCAAAATTGGAAACTGTACACCCAAAATTGCCCGGCACGAGCAGAAAAAGCTACTGAGTTGAAAGCACCAGCAGGCCCCGTCGCCAGGCTCCCAAAGGCGAGCAGTCACAGCTGAAGGCCAAAGCGGGGCACCAAAGGTGCACTGACAACGGCAAGAAATGCTTCCCCGCTCCCTGACATAGTTGTCTCCCCAAATAGCTGGCGGCCCATGCGCAGGTGCCGCGGACATATCAGCAGACTCGGAGGGCTTCCTCAATATCCACAGGCAAAACGAAGTAGCACTGGTAACGGTCAATGGGCTAACCCGAAGGAGGTGTTGTAGTCAGGTTAATTCCCCCCCGCCACCCGACAACAACACAGGAGAGAACTGCCCTACTGCAGAATCGCAGAACCAGCTATGTACCAAGATGGCGGTTTTCCACTTTGTCCCTTCAACCCAGCTGGAAGAAGGGTACCCTCAAAAAATAGGGCAGGGGACTGTGCAGTAAGAGTTCCGTGCTTTTGTGCATCCGTATTATTTTCGCAGCCTTTTTCTATGTGACTCCCAGCCCTCCAAAAGGAAACACACTTCCTTCGGGGGGGGGGGGTTCGAACCAACCGCCAGGTGGCCACTCGTCGGGACCCCATGGAGGCAGGTTTCCAGGCGGCGGCGAACCTGGCGGCGAACCTGGCGGCGAACCTGGCGGCCGACGCCCGGAAGACGGCCGAGGCGGGCGGCCGAGGCGGACGGCGGCGTCCCTTTTGGTTGTGCCCCGCCAAAAAACCAGATTTTGAGCATGCAATAAGGGGGAATGGCTGGTGTTCTTTTTGTTTAAAGGTTTGCTCTGAGACCAACTCCAAAGAGACGAAGTGGTTTTGCATGGTTTCGCTTGGTGTAACTTACCCGGAAATAATACCCCTAAAACTCCTCTGCGAATTAACGTGGAAGCCAAAGGAATCTCCTTCCTACGAACCCGGTTTTTGGGACCCCCTAATGAGGTCTCCAGCTCTGGAGAGCCTCCTTTCGTGGGGCATTCATGTCGAAGTAGTGTGTCTTTCTTTGGGGCCTTTCCAGGGGTTATTTGAGCGGAAACCACATAGGTGTAAATTACACAGGAGGGGTTACGCAGGTTTTGGTCCATATTTCCACTTGCCAGGGTTCCATGTTGGTACCGGTTTTTTGAGCCACAGCCACATGGAAACACCCATTTTGGGGAGGCGGATGGGGCGGTCTTTTGTTGATATCCAATCGCGGAACCCAAAAAATGGGTTTCCTTGTGAGTTGCGGTACACATGAAGGGAACCCTTTAAAGAAGCCGCGCCAAAGTTGCTTTTGGACAGGTGACGCTGGACCCAGCCACTGCGCGCTGCGCTGAGGAGTCCAGGGGAAGGGCTACGGACTCGCCCGGCGAGTCGCACCATGGGGCAATCATTTTCGCATTCCCCCCATTGATTTAAGGGAAAGAGCCTCTTGATTCGACGGCATTTCTCCTCCAGGAAACTGCTACAAAATGTGAGGTTTGGTCCAACATCCAGTCTATGTTAAGTTTGAGGGGACTTGGGGGACTCCCGGATTTGTTTCTACAAAAGTCAAGTGGTTCCTCGCTCACTCATTTCCCTGCGTCCATCGCAGGAGCAGAACATTTGGACCATGGCTCATGCATATCTGATTTTCTTCAAGGGAAAACGAAGGGTTGTTGTTTTGTGTCCAGGGCCCCCCCATCCCCTATTGAGCACCCCGGTTGTTATCATAGCTTGGATTGTTGTGATTGGTTTCTTGAAATCGTGGGCACTCAACGTTTTTGTTCGTATGGGTATTTCGAGCGTTGGCGTTGCGTCAGTTGGAGTTTTGCTGTGGCCTACACACGGGGCTATGCAGCTTGCCCAAGGCTGAAGCAATACGCAGAAGATGGTCGCAATAAAGGTCTGAGTCCGTACATACCATGAAGACCATGCAACAGCATCATGTTAAGATCAATATCCATCTTCAGTGGGAGCAAGGCCCAAACATTAGCTCATTCACCCATAGCAGA